AGTGTGGTCCATTTAACAACTAAAAGGGAAGGAAGTTAGAAATGCAGAATTTGATACATGCTTCCAGTGAATGTCAACACCGATTAAATGTTCCAATACCTATTGGAACTGATTTGTGAAGGCTTTTTGAAGATGCTTGGACTATGAGTTCCTCCACAAATGCAGCTTGCTAGTTGTAGTTCGTGCTACAAATGGGAAGCAAATTGTTTTACATGGACCTTCATAATGTGTTCTGTTTGTACACACATTGCAAAGTAGATAAAAGTAAAATCAAATGGCAGTAATGGTGTGGTGAATTCATTTGGGTTGACTTTCTCTCTCATTAAGCAATTTTTATATTCCATCGCCAAACGATCTCCAGTGAGACATCTCTGTTTGAAATGGAATTGGCCCGAGCTTATCATTTTGTTCTTCATAACTCATCCCTTTACCACTGGGGATCAGCCTCGTTGCCCCTAGTGTATCCATACCAGTAAATGTGTTATATATCAAAGTAAAGGATGGTAGCTATTTTCAAGATTATTGGTTCAAATTCACCATGGTTGTGCAAAACATTTCCAGGGTTTCATCAAAAACCTTGGTTTTGCCAACCTGCTCCTAATACTCTTCGTAATTAAAATGGCTGGGTGAGTTCATCCAGGAAAGAGTATACATTCCATTCCAATACATGAGAATTTCCATGTGTAGGTGACATCCATAGAACTCTATTTGGTTAAGATACTCTGTACAGAGTGGTGATCGTTTTCCACATTGTCAGACATTTCCACATTTTCCACTTTGTTAGTCACAAACAAAGGACCGAGCCCTGTCCTGAGGATGCGGGAGGACATTACTTGATGGAGTAGTGCAGCAAGAGCTAGGTGTTCAGTGCAGTGCAGAGATAGTATGGTTGGTGTTGATATGAGGATGCTATCCTGCAAATTCCCCAAAAATACAATGTAGATTAAAAATCCTGTGAAATGCTTTGAGATGTTTCAGCCATTATGCCCTGAATCTCTGGAACACTCTCCCCCAATCCCACCGCCTTGCTCCCTCTCTTCCCTCTGCCAAGTCCCACCTGAAAACATTACTTTTCAACCGTGCTTATGGTCACCTCCCACCACCACCACCCATTGAGCAGATTCTAGTCAAAAGCAATGCTGGAAAGAATTCCTATGCCTTCCAACTTTGTCTTATCATTTTACATGTACCGAACCAGACACCGTTATAGAATGGTATCTCTCTTCTCTCTTTCCTTCCTGAGCCCTAACCTATGTTTTATTGCACACCACAGCATACATTTTTTTGGGGGGGGGATCTGCCAAGTGTGACACATGCAGAAACCCATCACCATGCTTAAGAGTATCCAAAACAAGCTGAGATTTCCAGGCATCCCATGTCAGCTCCATGGAAATCCCAGAGATAGATTGTTGGAATGGTATGCACACTTTCTCCCTGGAGGGACACATCCTGCTTAGCGAATTCTAGAAAGTGTTAGACACAGGTTGGCAAGAGCCAAGGCTTGGGGACCCCAGAGTGTGTGTGGGGGTACTGCTGAAGTCTAACCAACTAAAACCGCATAGCTTGCCATTGATGTTGCTGTCTGGCAAGCTTTCCTGCTGCTTGTCCAGCTAGGACCACCCTACCTGTTAGGCTTTTGGCTTGCAGGGTTAGCAGAAGCTGAGTGGGATGACTCCCTGCCCCCTGTGAGTGGTCTGCCCTTTCAGGTTCTGCCGATGAACCAGGCTGGCTGTGCTGTCATCAGCCATCCCCTCGAATACTGCGGACCTGCCTGGCTTAGGAACTGGTCTACTGAGAAAGCCACAGAGGGCTGGCTCGACTCCGACATCCCATCGCCAGGCATGTCACTTTGGAGTTAGTTCAGCTCCAAGGAGACCCCGCTTAACATACATTGTGGTTGCAGATCAAGAAAGGGACCCAATTGGCTGAGAAGCATTGTGAGACAGAGTGAAAGTTGTTTGATTCCATTCTAAGACTTTGTTTAAAAAAATGTTCTGCAAGACAAGCTGCAGCAAAAGAAAGCGGATTGGACCCTGTAATGAAAACAAAATAGAAACAAATAAGAAAATCAATTGTCACAAAGCCAATTGTATATCTAACCTGGTATGTGCTACATCGTTGGGATGAAATCCTGTTCTCAGTATGGGTTCTGATGTAGGAACGCCAACCGTGTATGGACAACCCTTTCGTTATCGTCTCCTTGGAAGTGGGGGAAAGGGGAGGGTAGCAAGGGCTTCCTGGGGTTGAACTGACTTTGAGGAGTCACACCTGGCAAAGTTGGGCAGTCTGCAGTAATCTGAGACATTGTTCCTGGGTCACCATCCTGTCTGGCTCTTAGTGAGACTTGGAGCTGCAGACATGACCTCATCTCTACCAGGTAAAGCATAAACAGGTGGTTGGAACAGTACCATGAAACTTACCAATGCTTTGTACTGACAAGCTGTGCAGTTATTATTAACATTATAATATAATAATAATAATAATCCTTGCATTTGATATAGCGCTTTTCACGTCAGGAGGACGTCCCAAAGCGCTTCACAGAACACACTGTAAAGTGAATTGACTGTATATTTGTGGGCAAACGCGGCAGCCAATTGCGCACAGCAATGTCCCACAAACAGTCGTAGATTGAAAATGACCAATTTATTATTGTTTTGGTTTTTGGAGGGATTATTATTAGGCTCTGTGTGGAGTAAGGAAACTTGCCCAAGGTTTCGCCCTGCCTGGAATATTGTCTCATTTCAGTAGAATTGAGCTGAACACCACAGATTGAACTAAACTGAAGCTTCTGCTTGATGTGACTTGTTACATACGTTGTAATGGTAATAATCCTTACATTTTTATAGTGCCTTACTATGTTGTCGAGAGGTCGTCTCAATTTACAGGATTTACTTTTAAGTGTAGTGATTATATTTTGTAGATGAATGCGAGAGAAGGGAAACGTTAACCGTTCGGTCAAGTATCAGTCATTCGGGTTGACATATGACCAATTGCGGCTTCTTTTCGGTTTGCATGTGACGGCCTCGTTATCTGCTGCGACCGTTAGACTTCGGAAGTATGGTTGCATTGCGGCCAGTGCTGCCAGTGCAAGAGAAAACTATATCTGGGAAATTGCTAGGCGAGACAGTGTATTTTTCAGCTGTTTCCTTTATTTCTTTGCAATATACCCTCTAAGACTTCAAAGCAGCTTAGGATTTTTTTATATATATATATATGTTTTGGTACGTGCAGTTCAGTTACTGGTGCTCAATGAGCTGGCAAATTAGACGACTAACAGTACCAGTTTTATGTTTGCTGGATGTTCTTGGCATTTGAAACAAAAGTTTGCTACAGGTGCATGTTTATGTCTCCACTCATCCATGCCCAGTGTTCCCATGCCCAGCAGCTAAGATCGAAACCTCTTGATAATTTCCCCCCCCTTCAAAACCTCAGAGTGAATTCTGCGGCATGCTCTGTGGTCCAGGCCTGCTCCGGAGGAGTTTGCCCAACAAGTACGCCCGGTAGCTTTGTGCACATCATGTTCGTGCATGTACTGAGGCTCTGTTTAAACGTGCCAAATCCCCTCAGCAAATGTTCCGATAAATGATGTTGACTCTTGTTGTGTGGTTTTGTGTGTTTGTTTTCTTCTGCAACGCTGTCCATTTTTTTAGTGCATTGAGTTAATATGATGTAGGATTGGGAGTGGGAAAGGAGAAAAGAGAGAGAGAGAGGACAAGACCATCTGTTTAATATGTTGCTTTGTTGTGTTTTTTTGTTAAATGTACAAATGTAACTTTGTTGGTGTGTTTCACTGATCTCACCATTGCCAAGTTCTTTGTTAGAAACTATCAGAGTCCTTAGCTTTTATGGAATCATGAAAAGAGATGGATTAGAACATCAATGGCCTATTTGATCTTTCGCTTGTGAAACGTGGGTATTATGGTATGGCAGCTCGGCAGAATTGATTGACAATTCCCGTTGTGCCCTATTTTGGTATCTGGGTATGCTGCAAAAAAACACACATCAATAATACGAGGGTTCTGTGTGCAACCCCACCTGGCCACAGTGGTGTTTTGTACTGAGTACTGAGCCACTATACAGTAAATCACTGAAACTCTCGTCCTCCCTGAGAGGCACTGCAGCAGCAATCACTGCGGCCTGTGTCTGAAAGTCTAATATTAGAATACATAGAGCTACAGAGTGATAGAGTGCAGAAAGGGCCATTTGGCTCATTTAGTCCATGACGGTGTTTATACTCCAAACAAACCCAAAAGTAATTTTATTTTTCGCCATCACACGCCTTTTTTTCTTTAATGCTAGTAATATCACAGTGTAGGGATACTTTAATACAGTGGTAGGGGTGGGTGGGAGAAGATACTTGTCATTTCTACTGATAACTGTAAAATATATAATGGCTACTGAGGCAAGTTCTGTGAAATAAAACTATATTTTCCAAGCATTCGAGCAACTTTAGAGCCATGAGGTATTAGGCGGTTAGCGAAAGGGCAGAACATCGGAATTAAAAGATCTAATAAACTGGTGGAATAGGTTTGATGGGCTGATTGACCTCTTGTTCCAGTTTTCCTATGTGAAAACGCGCTGTACAAATGTAATCTTGTTCCTAAGATCAGCTAAGACAAATAATATTAAAAATAATAAATAAAATAATTCTTGCATTTGATATAGTGTTTTCATGTCGGGAGAATGTCTCAAAACACTTGACAGAATATGCTGTAATGTGTAGTGACTATATTTTGTAGGCAAACGCACACAGTAATGCCCCACAAACAGCAATGGATTAAATGACCAATTTTTTTCGAGGATGGATTGTTTTGCCAGGACACCGGAAAAACTCTCTTTAATCACTAAGCTTTGTTACAACCAAATCTTTTTTTTTTTGTTACTGTTTTGAGGGGAAATAAGGAAGATTAAATGTTTTTGTGAAGTCCTCTTTCCCTCCCTTGTGTTTCTCACAACCACTGGGCCTGACTGACACAGTATTTAGTGGGAGTCATTATTTGGGCTGTTTCCAGTAAGCTTTGTTAGGGAGTGTGGCTGCAGGGAACAAGTTCTTTTGAGTTCTGCATGCCAATCAGGGAGCTCCGATTTGCTTCATAAACTAATAATAAATATAATCCTTGCATTTGATATAGCGCTTTTCACGTCTGGAGGACGTCCCAAAGCGCTTCACAGAACACACTGTAAAGTGAATTGACTGTATATTTGTGGGCGAACGCGGCAGCCAATTGCGCACAGCAATGTCCCACCAACAGTCGTAGATTGAAAATGACCAATTTATTACTGTTTTGGGTTTTTTGGAGGTATTATTATTAGGCGTGTGGAGTAAGGAAACTTGCCCAAGGTTTCGCCCTCTGCCTGGAATTGAACTCAGGTCTCTCGCTTGCAAAGCAAGTGCTCTAACCACTGAGCTACAGGACTCCAACTAGTACTGCTTTCTGACACAGAGACTCATCGTGCATTGGTTTGTGATGTAGTTGTGAAGCAAAACCAAAATGTTTGCATACAGCAATGTCCCACAAAGAGAAATGAAGCGAATGACCAATTTCATCTGAAGGATTGCTGGCTAAGGCAAACGGGAGAAACCATTTTTTCTTTTCCACAGTGCCGTGGGATTTCTAATGTCCACCTGAACAGACAGACTGGACCTCGGTTTAAAATCTCATCTGAAGGATGCATGGTTGAGAGAGTGAAGTTAAATGCTTAGGGTGCCCAATACTTTCCATTAAGGACTATTTTTTGTACTTATAGAAAAGGGAAGAGTACTTTTGGCATCAGTTATCCATCTTGCTGGAGCTTGATGAGTGAGACCATCAAAATGTTACAACAGTCATTTTTGAGTTAGTCTGAGGACAAATAGATTCCATGTTAAGGAAAGGAAAGGTCATTCGCTTTCTTTAACTTATAATATTGCATAATAATAATGTCTTGAAATATCTGGCCTGCTATAACCCAAAGCAAGCATTTTGGAGAACAGATTTTGTTTTTAGTGCTTTCAATCTCTTAAATTATTTAGTAGCCGGTAACTTTACCCTCAGTAAACCATTGGATAAGATTTAACCAGCGTGCAAGCTGCAAGGCAGGCCCTTTCTCTGTGTTTAAATGTTAGTGTGCCCAATTATTTTTCTAAGTTTTCTCCCCATTGGCATATGCCTTGGTTGGGATATGGCCCCAGTTACCGCATGCTGGGGTGTGGTTCCAAGGTCACTGGTTGCCCTCTGGCACCCACCCAAGTGTGAGCCTTGGCAATGAGTGTCAGCAGGCTATTTGACTGTAGAGGATGTCACAGTTGAGTCTGCGTCCATCTCACCTGGCTGCCACACATGTACACTACCAGTAGAGGGTCCAGGAGCAGGAGTGTCTGCTGGTTTTCCCCTCCCTAACCCTGGGAAAGCCGGAACTAAATTAACTCCTCTCTGCATCACTGGCTGAGACAAGCAAATTCAAACCAGGATTCAAACAAGCAAACTCCCATTCCGTAAACTGCAGCTTTGGCTGCTACATCATCGGGACTGCCCTCTATAGACCCTTGCTAACATCATCCTTTCTAACGTAGCTTCAACACCTGATTCGTACTCTGCTAGAGTTGAAGAATTAGTTGTTGTGCAGACTGGAATAGCAATAGATTTGTTACCAGGCTAACTGATCGGAGCATTTTTTAATCTCCTTTTCAGTGTTTGCTGATCAACAGTTGCCACTGTTTTTATTTCAGCCGGCAAAACCATCCCCGGAAAAGTTGGACTCTTCAGCTCATGGGCCGTCAAAACAGGATAAGGAGGCGATTGCTTTGAAAGAGGCTTTAGTGGCTGGAAAGGTGGATTTGGTTGGAGAAATACTGAATTCTGGTAATCCATTTCTGTTCATACTGATCTAATCATCAGTTTTATGTGATAGTTCCCATATACACTTTCTTGGCTGCAGGTTGTGGGGCAGTGCAGTTGGCAGATGTTTCCATAGTTGAGGGTTGTGCTGTGGACGGACCATTGATGTAGGAACAGGAGGGCTTTTAGCCCATCCAGCCTGCTCCTACGATTTATTCAAAACACAGGGATGGAATGGCTTTTGTGAGATGTCCTCTTTCTGTTAATCTTATTTTGTTTTCTGCATAAGCTGAGCATCCATCACCCCTTTGTTGTGAAAATGTCTCAAAGACCTTCACAGGATTTACTGTGAAATGTAATGACTATTTGTGGGCGAATGTGGCAGCCAATGTGCACAAGGATTCTGTGTGCGGATGCGATTCAATTACATGGAGAGGTTCCTTGTTCTTTGACAGATTATTTGATCCTTCAAAGTGGGCACTTACACCGCCTGTTTGTGTGGGATGTAAAAATGTCACAAAAGCTGGCTTCATCAAGGTGTTTTGATCAATGTTTTTCATCAATGGGACGCGGAACTTGGCATAAAGCAGCATGTTCTTGGGTTATTAGGGCATCCCAGATATAACGGTCCTTCTCCCCCTCCCCACCCCCCATGAATGTGATTTGCTTAAAGCGCAGGTTTGCTGTGGACTTGTGCTAACCAGATGTGCTTCGTGCAGGAAGCACTGTTGACCTCACTTTGTGAAGGATGTGACATTGGCAGCACTTCTTGCGCATAGCGTGTAGGAGGTGATGTTGGCAGTGACTTGGAAGTCAGCCATTTCTCATGCTGTGGTATATACTGTGGGGCCTGAGATATTAAACTCGGACGGCTGAGTTACTATACAAATGCAATTATGTTGTTGTTGCTGAGTTACAGCAACGGGATGCCCAGTATTTACAGCAGTTGCACCTGTAGGGGATGGTTTTGTGGCTGACTGCTATTACATGTCTGTGATACAGGAGATACAGAGTTTATTACGGAACTTATTTATAATTTGCACACCTACTCTTAAAATGTATTATAATTCGGATATTTCATGTGCAAAGTATATGATCAACTGAGATTAGGCATAAAGCATCAGTATGTGGCAGTAGAGTTGTCTTTACCTCTTTGTGTCGCATTGGATAAAAACCAATAGGAATCAAATTCATTCCAGTCTCGGTACCGACACTACTTTTTGATCTCACAAATAACTTTTGTAAGATACTTCTTGCACAGTCTTCTTTACAGTTTAAAATCTAAGGGTAAATTTGAAAACCTGTTTAAATTGTCATATTGGAAAAATATCTTCTCTAGGTAAACTTGAAAACATATTTGGTGAAATATGAATGGAAATTGTGGTGCAATATTTATTTATTTATTTACAGTTCTTCCTCCGTTTTATACGAGGTACGTGCACAGTCCAGGCTAAATAATAGTTCTTGTTGGTATAAATCAGCCAGAGACATGTTTGTCTTAAACATGCCCAATAAATATAACTGAATGATATTTTCTCAATGATATAAGAAAGGTGAGATTTTAGCCATTCTACCTCCACTCCCTGGAATTTCATCTTGGAGTCCCTCTTAGTTGCTTCCTCTCTCACCACTTTTAAGACTCCCCTCTCCGGTAACCTATCCATTAGGGCTTTGGCTTGGAGGGTTTTCAATCTCAGGGTTTTCCATCACCCTTTGATTTTAACGACTGGTTGGTTCATTGGGAAGTTTGGTCTGACTCATTTTTTGGCACATCCCGTCGGAAAACTGTTCAAATGCTGCCGTAAATGCAGAGTTTGCTGATATTGCAGACCCGTCAGCTTTTGAAACTCTTCCCTTCACAAGCTGCAGATCATGCAAAACTCTGCAGCTCATGTACTCTCATGCACCAGGCTCTGCGATCCCATCACTCCCACCCTCGCCCGACTCCACTGGCTCCCCATCCCCCAGAGGATTGAGTTCAAGATCCTCGTCCTCACCTTTAAGGCCACCCATGGCCTTGCCCCCTCCTACCTCTCTGACCTGCTGACTCCCCACCAACCAGCCTGATCCTTCCGTTCAGTGGGCTCCGGTCTACTCCATTTCTCCCGCTCGACCTGCCCTAACATCGGTGGCCGGGCTTTTAGCCTGTCTGCTCCACACTCTGGAACTCCATCCCACGGTCCCTTCACCTCGCTTTCTCCATTGCCTCCTTCAAGGCCGGTCTCAAGATCCTTCACTTCGATCGTGCCTTCAGTCGCTCAACCACCTCTCTGCCTTCCCTCACACCTACACCACCCCTTCCCCATGCTCGGGCCCCGACACGTGATTGTTCAGCGCTTTGGGACGTCCTACCGACATGAAAGGCGCTCTATAAATGTAATTTTGTTGTTGTTGAAAGAGTCGGAGGAAGCTTACAGTACAGGAGAAAGACACTTGGCCCTTTGTCCCTGTACTGGTCCTAGCTCCCCCAAAAGAGCCTGCCTGACTGGATAATTGAGCTCTCTTATTCCCATTGGGATGTTTGCATGTTTCAATCGGACAAGTAGTCTTTGAATTCGTTGAGTTCCTCTCCACCCTGAACACAGAGAGATGCTGTGGAAGCAAATCTCTGTTGTGTGGGTGTCACAAATATTATAAAGAGTAAGGTAGCTCAGCAATTCAGATATGACCATTCAACACAGCAGATCCCAATTCCGACGAAGGGTCAAATCACATCTAAAATATTGACCTACCTTCATCTGATCCTGATCACACGCTGTGCATTTCTGGCATTTTCTGATTTGAATGCTTTTTCCTCTGAAACTGAACAGGCTGAGTCTGCTGGGGAAATGGTTTACTTCATGTTCCGTGCAGGATACTGTGCCAATCTCACATTAATGTACCATGTGACTGATCATTAATAGCATAAATTAGATTTGGATTTAACATTTTAGCAAGTCCCAATGGCTTAAAAGCACTTTCTCTGAAGTGCAGTGATTGTTTTGTTAAAATATTAACAGCTAATCTGCACCGACAATGTCCTCAGACAGAGGAGTGACCAGGAAATCAAGAAAATCTCTGCTCTTAAGACTACCCTTTTGCCTACAGAATGCACAGTCACTATATTTTACAATATATTCTGTGAATCATGTTGGGACACCTCCTGATGTGCAATGCACTATACCAAATGTAAGAACAGAAGCAACAAATTACATTTATATAGTGCCTTTCACATCAGGAGAACTTTCCAAGGTGCTGGACAGTTGAGGATTGGATTCGGGAGGGGTGGGAACGAAGGAGGCAGTGGAAGTGGAAGATGCCCGAAGGGTATGGTAATTTTAAATATAAGGATTATTATTAATAGTGCCATGTAATCTTTAATGCTCACCTGATCAGATTTAACACATTGTCCTCAGGAAAAATAAATACTGGGTGTACATGTTATTGAAAAAATAGAAGCTTTGTTCACAAGATCACAGGGTTTGTTTGAATGAAGAAGGCCATTCAGCCATTTGATTCCTGTCGTCCAGAATACCTACCATCCATCCATCACAGTATAAATTGTTTTTTAAAAAATGAGTCCAGTGTCCTGGCTGCAGCCACCCTTGCTGGTAGCCTTTCCAGTCTTTAATTAAAGAACCCCTAGTAAAGTAGCACTTCCTGGGGTCTCTCCTGAAATTGCCCTTTGCAACACAAAAAGTATGCCCTCTTGTTGTATTGTTCTGGGGCATTGTAAAGTATTGTTCAGGATTTACTTTCTCAGTCCCTTTTTTTAAAAATATTGTACACCTCCACAAAGGGTCCTCTGAGATGTCTTCTCTGAACACTAAAGAGCCCTAGCTTGTCTAATCGTTGTTCATAGCTCATTCGGCACAAAATGCACACAGTCACACTACTTTACAAGATAGCCTGTGAAGTGTTTTGAGATGTCCTGATGATGATAATAATAATAATTCTTGCATTTGATATAGCGCTTTTCACGTCTTCTAGACGTCTCAAAGCGCTTCACAGAATATACTGTGATTTGATTGTATACTTGTGGGTGAAACGCGGCAGAAAATTGCGCACAGGTGCGTCCGACAAACAGTCGTGCATTGAAGTGACCAATTTATTATTTTTTTTTCTTAAGGGATTATTATCAGGCGTGTGGAGTAGGGAAACTTGCCCAAAGTTTCGCCCTGCCGGGAATCGAACCCAGGTCTCTCGCTTGTGAGGCGAGTGGTCTAACTACTGAGCTACAGGACTCCACAATGATATAGTACCTTATCACTGATGATGTGATATATCAAATGCAAGGATTATTATTTTTGTTATTGTCATTATTCCAATAGGTTTAAAGCATAAACTTTCAGTGAGTCTCTGAACACTTGCATCATTTGGTTGTTACAGGAGTAGATGTGGAAATACAGTTCAGGTTTGGATGGACACCTTTGATGTATGCCGCAAACGTAGCTAACTTGGAGATGACACGCCTTCTGCTGGATAGAGGAGCTGATGCAAGCTTTGCAAAAAGTAAGGTACTTTTGTTCTAATACTTTGAGTCTACAGGTACTTTGGTGGAATGCATATTTAATGCCTGTAATAAAGAAAGAACTTCCATTGTTAAAGAGCCTATAAACATCAACGTCTCAAAGTGCTTTACAGCAATCGCAGTCATGTGTAGTGATTGATTTTTGTATGGAAACACAGCAGCGCTCTGAGATGCTGTTCTGTGTGAAAGGCTCCATATAGATATATCCGACTTTTTACATCCACCTGGAGAGGCAAATGGACCTCAGTTTAATGTCTCATATGAAGGATAGTACCTCAGACAGCATGCTGCTGCAGTGCTGCATTGGAGAAACAATATGTGCTCAGGCTCTAAATTGGGACCTGAGCCCATAACCTTCTGTCCCAAAGACAGGAGTACTACCAGGTGAGCCACGCTGACACCCATTACAACTGTGGCATCAATGAAGTAGCTCGGACTGCATTCCGAACGACAATGAAAATCTTGACTATGGAATTTTTAAATCGAAATGATACACATCTTGCAAAATTACCCTAAAAGATTTGTCAGTGGTAATTCTAATGGGGGGGGGGGAGATGGAGAGCTTTCATAGGGACTATCATGCCAGTGGTTCATTTGTGGTTTTGAATGACGTTGTGTGCAGAATGGATGGACGTCATTTCAATTTATAAGAAACAGCTTTGTAAACTGAGCAAGCAACTCACAAAGAAATGAACCCGTGTGTTTGTTTACGCAAATTAATAGAAGTGTTTGCCTCAATGAGGACTCCCACTGTTGGAAGCCAGTTAGAAATAATTCTCTGCCGCCAGGTGCAGCATGTGGTCAGACAGGCCAGCAGGTTATAAGATTGAATCCTGGTCTGTGTTGTGAGGAGATATCAGCTAGTAGAGTTGCAATTGACCTCAGTGCCCACGGGCAGGGAGGGATGAATTAGCCTGTGTTTTTGTACCTCATTTCTATTCAACAGCCATTTGGAAGGAATATGCGTGTGTGGATAGAGTGTGTGAATGTATGGACTCTTAAAAGTGAACTCTTAAAAGTTTTTATTGAATCGGTTTCCACTACCCTTTCAGGTAATGCATTCCAGATCCGAACAACTCGCTGGGTGAAATTTTTTTTCCTAACCTCCCCTCTTTCTTTTAACAACTATCTTAAATCGGTGTCTTCGGGTTACTGACCCACATACCAGTGGAAACAGTTTTTCCCAGTTCAACCTATCAAATCCTCTCATGATCTTGAAAACCTCTATTAAATCCCATCTTAATCTTCTCTGCTCTAGGGAGAATAATCCAAGTTTTGCTAACCTCTCCTCATAACTAAGTTCCTTCATTCCTGGTACCATCCTGGTAAACCTCCTTTGCCCCATGATGGGACTTAGAACACATATAGTCCAAGCTGACACTCCAATGCAGTCCTGGGGTGTGCTGCATTGTCAGAGATGGCGGTGTTCAGATGAAATGGTAAACATCCTATGGGATTGTTCGAAAAGTGAAGGGAGTTTCTCTCAGTGTTCTAGCCAACAATCCCCCAAATAAAATTGGTCACTCACTTCATGGCTGGTTGGGGGAACATTGCCAGGCGCAAATTGGCTGCCATGTTTGCCCAGAAGAGATAGTCACTGCACTTTACAGTGTATCCTGTGAAGCGTTTTGGGATAGCCACCTGATATGGAAGGCTCTATGTGAAATGTAAGTATTATTACATCCAACAACAACAGGGATAGTGACATCGACACTGTTCCATTTGGCTGTTCGGTGTTGTGTAGTTTGATGCTGAACAGCCAAGTGAGACATCAGTTTAATGTCTCATCTGAAGGATGGTATCTCAGGCAATACAATGCTGCCTCATTCTTGCACTGGAGTACCAGATTAAACTCGGTGCTTGAACCTGCACCCCTCCTATTCCTCTCTGCTATACCCCTTTGTTCCCTTCTTCATCATGTCTGCATCAAGTTTACACTTAAATACATTGGTGCAATTTGCTCCATCCACAAGTTGTAACGTTTAAAAAGAAGCCAAGCAAGAGTGGCATTTGCTAGGACATTGGAGCTTCACTGTGTCAGAGGCTGATCATGTCTCCATCCTTTGCCACTTGTAAGTGTTGTGAATCTGCATCAAAATTAATAACAATATAAATCTATAATAAGTAGAGCTGCCATTTCATTGAAATTAGTGCAAAATCGGATAAAGTTGAGTTATTTGCTTTGACCCACGTGCATCAGCAAGACTGATTGGGACTGGACTTGGTTGGCCAGAGATGCTGCAAACATAAACAAAACTGAGTCAAATTGAGCATGGAATTAAACCCAAAATTGAGAGCAGTTTAAAAAAGCAGTCATGTTGGCTAATTGGGTTTGTAAATGGCTATGACGTAGGTGAATCTATAATCATGAGGCTACTTTATTGTAGTGTGTATATTTTTAGTTCCCTTGTAAATCCGGTTTCTTTTTCAAATTGAACACATCTGTGAACATCAGTGACCTGTGCCTAGGACATTCACTCAAGTAATTTGCAGTTATTGAACTGCTGAGCATTGCAAGTACTGAACAGATGGTTAAGGGTATGGTGAACGGGGTAATTGGTGCTTGGGGCTTCAAAGAGAAATCATTATAGTTCATACTTCAGACCTGCAATTCCGCTGCATCATAAAACCATATCACCTGCACTGAGAAGTTATAGTAACATCACTGACAAAGTTCTCTACTTCCACTTAAATTTGATGTTGTGCCTTATCACATTGCAGAAAATTTCAAAGTACTTCACAGGATTGACTCTAAGGTCTAAGTGACTGAGTGTTTGTAGGTTTCATATAGACTATTACTCTTACTTCATAATAGGCTATTGAAAACATGGTGGTTTGTGCAAACAGTGTGACTTTTGAGAGAACCTTTCTTGCTTAATTTGACTGAACCTAGTTTAGAACTTTGTGCACTGTAAACATGAATTTGTTGTTTTGAATAATTTGTTAAATAGTCATTTTACTTTCAGGTCCCTTTTAGTGTTTATACACAGCGAGCAAGTCTATAGAATCTTGCATGAGATTTTAGTGTTGATAATAATTGGCCTTGCATTTTATACAGTGCCTATGATATCCTCAAAACATCTTGAAATGCTTTGCAGGGGTTTTACTGTAAAGTGTTTGTTTGTTGGTGAATAATAATAATAATCCTTGCATTTGATATAGCATTTTATCACGTTGTTGAGACGTCTCAAAATGCTTCACAGGGTATACTGCATAGTGGATTGACTGGTCAAAATATGGTAGTCAGTTTGCATACAGCTATGTCCAACAAACAGCCATGGAGTGAGTGACCAATTGTATTTGGAGAATTGTTGGCCAGAACACTGGGAGAAACTCCTTTCTCTTTTCAAATTGTGCCACGGGATCTTTAACGTCCACCTGAACAGGCATTTGGAACCTCAACAACAACTTGCATTTATATAGCACCCTTCCGGCCGGTTTAATGTCTCATCCAAGGGACGGTACCTCCGATAATGCAGTTATTAGATAGTTCCATTGGGAGAGTTAGCACTTGTACAGACATGATGAACTAAAACAGCCTCCTCCTGAGCTGTAAACGTTCTATGATTCTATAGGGTGAATTGGGCTTTCTGGTTTAAAATCTGCAGATCAGTATACTGTGCTGATGGCTGCCTGTGCGAACCGTGAATCGGAAGAAAATGTGGTGAAATGTGTGGATTTGCTGCTGTCCAGGAATGCCAATCCAAATACTCTCAACAGGTAGGAACTCTTGCTTTTCGACTTAAGCAGGGAGGGGCAGTCAAGATTTTCAAGCTGTTTGCAAGATTATCCTGGAAATTTAAGATAGAATAAATCTATGAACCAAACCACAGGAGAGGTATGGATGAAGAAGGCCCTTCGATCCATTTAATCACGTCCAAGGTGAGGCCGCTTGGCTTATCAAGCCCACTCCTTCCACATACCATACAAAATCTGACCAGTATTTGGGACAGATTCGCTTATCTTAAATGTTTTACGTACAAGAGAGAAATTGAGGCTACCTCATTGAGGCCCAAGTGGGGCATTGGGAACATTTGACCCAGGAGAGTGCCATTGGCAGTCTCTTTGCGGAGGTCTATGAATAGTAGTGCCCTGCCTTCTCATACGAAGATTGTGTGGATGCAAGGAGTTTACCAACACGGGCACGGTAGACTGAATGACTTCCTCCTTCTATGCTGTAGGTGTCTTTGGTTCTAACCGCCTATGCACCAATTTGTTCACACACATAAATTTGGTAATTAAACCACATTATGGTTTACCTGCTCTGTACTGGTCAAACATGACTTGCCCAATCTGTACTTGAAATTTAAATTGACTTTATCTAGCTCAAAAGGGGCCTCTGGTGGTAGAAACATCATATTGTAGTGCTGTGTTTTCTGGACTCTTTTAATCTAGAGAATGTGTTTTAATAGGAAAGAATTTCAGTGTCTCACAGTGGCTTTTTTTTGTGTCACTTTCAGAAACCTAATGACTCCACTGATGTATGCAGCCAGAGAAGGGCACACGCAGACCATTACACTGCTGGTGGCCCATGGAGCAGAAATCAATATTAAAGATGAGAAAAGCTTCACAGTAGGTCATTTGGGCAAAATGCCATTGGTTTTGGTTTGGAAAACAAAGCTTGCAAAGTGTTTGAAAAGTGTTTCAGCAACATGGTCTATTGCGCAGTAACAATACAGCATTGAGATTTGTAAAGGGTAGGGATATGTTGTGCTTGGAACATCACCAGGAGTAAATAATATTCTGCGGGTTTGTTTCGTGGAGTGAAACGCGATGCTTTTTTGTCGTGTTATCGTTTTCCAGATTCGGGTACCCAGTCAACTGCGTTGAGCACTTTGAGACATCCTGACGATGTGAAAAAATAATAATCCTTGCATTTGATATAGCACCTTATCAAGTCATTGAGACGTCTCAAAGTGCTTCACAGAATATACTGCAAAGTGAATTGACTGTATATTTGTGGGCGAGAATATTCTTTAAATATAAGTATTGGAAAGAAAGGCGCTATATAAATGTAAATTATATTATGAATTTTTACTGACTAGTGAAAGAATGTGCATTAGTGAAAGAAAGTGCATTATCTTTACTGTGGATTTTATTTTATATCCAACATCGATGGGTAGGATACACCAATCAGTTCAGCTCTTAAGAGAAAATCCCCCAATTAATTATTTGTTTGCAAGCGATCCTCCTGGTCCTCTTGGCTCTAAAAGGTCTGAATGAACAGTTTTGAAACGAAAAAATTACTTTGATATTCTACCACGTCTCTCAGTTGACTTCTTTTCTTTCATAATTAGGCACTTACGTGGGCAGCAAGTCAAGGCCACAAGAGTGCAGTGCTGAAGCTAATTGAGTTAGGAGCTGATAAAACACTGAAGACCAACTGTGGAGAGACAGTGGCTGACATTGCCAGTAAAAATAAGCATTTTCAGGTAAGCACTAAACTATTGTCATCTTCATTAAAAAGATTGGATGTAGTCACCTTATCTTGACCATGAACTCACCAATGTCCAGTATACCTAGTGTTGCACTGCACAGCGCTTTTCCTCCCTAGGCCATGGTGGGGAGCATTGATAACTCAATTAGAAGAGCTAAGAATTCCTCATATTGCATTTCGAGAATGAGGAGGATCTTGGTTTCTCTCTTTAAACAAAACATACTTTGTGTTCCAAAATAAGAGCTGAATTTCACCAGAGCCCCCAATATAATAATAATCCTTAACATTTTTGTATAAGAAGGAATGGCTACAAGGGGCTCGACTGACCTATTGAGTCTCCACGAACAGCATCTCCTCTAGACCCGGACCGTCTCCTGCGGCGTTCCTCAGGGCTTTTCCTTAGTTCTCACCTCTTCAATATCTACATGCTCCCTCTTGGTGACATCATCCAGACATGGGGTCAGCTTCCATATGTGTGCAGGCCATCTCTAGTTCTCTGCCTCCCCCTTGACTCCAGGACCATTGCCTTACCTCTCAGGACGTTGAGACCCTCATCCACACATTCATTATATCTAGGCTCGACTAAGCCTACTCCCTGCTTGTCGCCCTTCCTAACGCTTCCCTCCACAAGCTGCAGATCATTCAGAACTCAGCAGCTTGTGTCCTCTCCTGCACCAGGCTCAGTGACCCTATCACCCTCGCCCAGCTCCACTGGCTTCCCATCCCCAGAGGATAGAGTTTGAAATCCTCGCCTTCAAAGCCCTCAACGACTTTGCACCTTCCATCTTCTGTGACCTGCTCACTCTACACCGACCTATCCGCTCCCTCCGCTCAGTAGCCAGCTCCATGACCTCCGTCCTGCCCTCCACCCTCCACCAACATCCGGGCCTTCGGCCTCTCTGCCTCCACCCTTTGGAGCTTTATTCCATAGTACTTTCTCCTTGCTCCCTCCGTTGACTCCTTCAAGCTACATCTCAAGACCCTGCTCTTCGGCCACACCTTCGTTCACCCTCCTATCCCTACCCACCCTGCCCTCCACCCCTCCTGATCCCAACCCCCTGCACAGGACTAAATCCCCGATTGTTCAGCGCCTTGGGACGTCCTCATGACGTGAAAGGCTCTTTACAATGTATTTTTTTGTTGATGTTGTTGAGTCAGTGACGTTGACTCCATGTAGATCATGTACCCCTGGGAATGGGAAGTTGGTAGAGGGGTATTCCGAAAGCATGAGATCAAATGGGTCAAAGGTCCTTTTTTTGCACATACTTCGCTTGAAACCAAAAACATCAAGTTATTTAAGAAAAAACTTGATGCATACATGAGGGAGAGAGAAATTGAGGAGTAGGAAAAAGGAGATTAGATGTGTGGAATGTAAATAACTGCACAGTGGAGTGTAATTGTTGTGCGATTGCTCTGAATGCTGGGTTAGACTTATTGTATTCCGGGCATGTCTTTTGCATTTGTCTAGATAGAATATTACAGTTCATAATGGTGTTTTGCCAGATTGTTCTAACTAATGCAGTGATCCTCTTCGTTTTTAAATTCATCTTCCTTTCATGTTCGAAATTTGGGGAGTGGAGATTTCCTGCCAATCTTCTCCCTTCCTTCCTTCTCCCCCAAAGACATTTGACTTCCTTTTCCTTCCATTTGGGTGTGGTTTCACAGGTGCCTCGCCCATTGTGGGGAGTGACCTGCTGCATATGTGGGCCACAGATGACGAAGATCATGAAATGACCTGGTCCTGGCCAACAATCCCCCAGATAAAATTGGGCATTCACTTCACGACTGTGTTTGTGACATTGGATGTTCTCAATGAAGTTTACTAGACTGACTAATTAATACAAACACAAACCAGACATTTAGATTTGTTTTTATCACCTCCCCAGCTGGCAGCATTGCTCACGGTGACTTCGAATTCATCTCTACTGGGAAAAATGCGGAATATATCTAAAGAAGAGGCTATTTTTAAATTCTTTAAAAATCAGTCAGGCTCAGGAAAGAACTGCAAAGTAAGGTGAGAACCACTGTGTTCAGAATCTCAATGTTGTTTCTATTGTCATTGTGTCTTTGACCTGAATTGGAAGCATTCCAATCGCACTGATGTCTAAATGATGAAGCTAAATATCAGCTTGTTTAAAATATGGCTTCAGTGCAGTTTTGCAATTTATAAAACAATTTATAGAGCGTCTTTCACCTTGGGAGGATGTCTCAAAGCACTTTAAACTACAAGGCTTTGTCACACAGAAATAATGGTCGAGTGGGAGTGATGACTAGACCTTCTCCAGAGAGTTATCCATTTTATATCTTGAGAGAAAATTGAATACGGTCTAAAATTCAGCGATTTCAAACAGGATTCCCTAAGATGCCTTATCAGGTCATGGAGTCCTGTAGCTCAGTGGTTAGAGCACTCGCTTTGCAAGCGAGAGACCTGAGTTCAATTCCAGGCAGAGCAAAACCTTGGACAAGTTTCCTTACTCCACACAGAGCCTAATAATAATCCCTCAAAAAAAACAATAATAAATTGGTAATTTTCAATCCATATGACTGTTTGTGGGACATTGCTGTGCGCAATTGGCTGTCGCGTTCGCCCACAAATATGCAGTCAATTCACTTTACAGTGTGTTCTGTGAAGCGCTTTGGGACGTCCTCCCGACGTGAAAAGCGCGATATCAAATGCAAGGATTATTATTATTATTATTATTGAAACGTCTCAAAGCGCTTCACAGGATATAGTGATGGTGTATTTTGTGAGTGTAACTGCACGTATGATATATAGGCAACCTTAGAAGCCATTATGCACCACATATACTAAACTGACCTGCGGAAACTCCTTATTCCTTACATAAGGAATCCCATTTGAAGTTCTTGTGTTTTAGATCCCATTTTTTGATGTAACCAATGATGAAAACTCATCACTTTACAGAGGATTCTCATTGCTAATTTCACCCTGCTTTATTCTTTTATTGATTGTAAGATTTCTTTTTGTGTTTATAGTTTCCCATCAGCGTTTGGGGACCTGGACCTGTTTCTATGTGGACTTGAGCTTGAACATCTTCAAGAGATATTTCAGGTACATTTGTTTGTTAGCAAGCTATTCTGCTGAACATTAATTGGTATTTTATGCAATCAGCAATTTTAAATAATATTTGAACTGTTTTGCCTCTATATACAATATATAAAAATGTTGCTTCTTAAACTTTTGGACGAATTTTCAAATGTTCCTCAAAAGTACAGTCAAGTTTCTTTTGTGCCAACGAGAGTCAACATCTTGATTTCTGTTACGGTTCATCATCTGACCTTTTCAAGCTGTAATGTTCTCGGGAGGGAAAGGGAAAAACCCATTATCTTAAGAGAGTTTGATCATAATGTGACTCTCTCATGAGTTCTTAATCTTAAAGCAATTTGAAAGATCTAGATGTTTGATTTCTGTCTATAAATACACAACTTAGTTTATGTATCTAATGGATTAAGAGTGAATTCTTTTTCACTCCAAGTGGCTGAACGCTTTCTCCAAAATATGGCTCATAAATGCAGTTTGGCTCATTGACAATAAATGAGAATATCCGCATAAGATAATTTGACTCTAAAATCTGTCCTTTGTTATAATTTCTAAAGGACCATGATGTATCCTTCAAATGTCTTCTGACAATGGGGAAAGAAGACATGAAAAAGGTTAGTTATGCCAAGCATGAGACCGTTTGCTTCAAAGATTTATCACTGCTTTAACTGATATTGAGATCCCAGCTTTCACTACAAAGACCAGGAATAATATTGGATTCATTGTCAACACAATTATTCTGTTTTGCACAAATAGGAGCTGTGCCATTCTTCAAATAATTGTTCATTTAAAGTACTTCAACACTCTTCCAAGTGCTGATGTGCAGTTTTCCATTGTTTGAGTCGCCAGTTACTACTCATGCATTAATATATGACCTGCACTGACAACACAGTTGCCATGTTATTCATGTCTGCTTTGTGGTATTTCTCTATGGGATTTGTCAATAATCCGAGTCTCATGAACAGGGTCTCCTTCCAGCAGGAGTTCCACTCAGACTAAGTTATTAAGGAATCCCATTTAGAAAATCCCTGTATCTCAAGTAAGACCACAATGGTTAACGATTATCATTTTAAGGTTAAGCACCAAGCATTACTCACTCCTTTCAACAAAGTTATGCTTTAGATTGCCCTCTCTGCCTCTGTAAACACTTAGTCACAATGTACAAAGTCACTTAACCTATTGGTTATTCACTTCATCATGGGTCATCATGGCTCTTTGTTGGACATTGCTGTGCACAAGTTACTTGCAGTATTCCCCTACAGAATACAGAGTACACTTTACAGTAAATCCTATGAAGCATTGTGAGCTGCCTTCCTGGACTTGAAACGTAATATGAACAATTATTAATAACCTACCTGGTGTGTGGTGAACAGCCGTAAACCTATTGAAGCATTTGATTTGATGCAATTCAGCTCACATGATACGTTGATACAGATTTTAATAACTAAGTATGTTTAACACCCAGATGTACAGCATGTTTCAGTGCAATGCATAAAAGCCAACATAAAATTAACGCCTTTAATTTGGCACGTTTAGTTCCATGTTAATGTGTACTTTCCATCACCTTACAATTGGATTTTGAATAAAGTCCTCAGTGAATTGCAACAATTAGAACAATGCACACAAATTCCTTTCATACAAACTCACTGGAGGTTAACGTCTAACTGGATTCATAAGAACCTAAGAACTATGAAAGTGCAAAGTTGTGGACGCAACTGTCCACAACTTTGCATTTTAGGTCCAGTTTTGTTTATAATCTTTCTTCACTTACCTAAACCTTTTCAGCGAGAATGTACAGCGTGAGTAAACTGAGTTAAGATTTCTGGTCGATAAACTTTCGTCAGACCTAACTCTTGGACGGCACTTTCAGTCATCATTTCCCCTCCCCATCCCACCGCCTTCAGCTCATTTGTCTGGCACTGTCGAGCGTTTTAACACATGCTTCCGACGTGAAAAAGTGACGTGTAAATATGAAGTTTTTGTCGCTGACCTGTGGAATGACAATAATTATAAATTTGGTATTTCAGTACCTGAAGGTTGTTCATCATATCTTACTGCGTATTACAATGTTCGTATCAACCTGAATAGAATCATCTCACTTGTAAGTTAAATTGTGGAGTCCTGTAGCTCAGTGGTTAGAGCACTCGCTTTGCAAGTGAGAGACCTGAGTTCAATTCCAGGCAGAGGGCGAAACCTTGGGCAAGTTTCCTTACTCCACTCGCCTAATAATAATCCCTCCAAAAACCAAAAACGATAATAAATTGTTCATATTCAATCTACGACTGTTTGTGGGACATTGCTGTGCGCAATTGGCTGCCGCGTTCGCCCACAAATATACAGTCAATTCACTTTACAGTGTGTTCTGTGAAGCGCTTTGGGACATCCTCCCGACGTGAAAAGCGCTATATCAAATGCAAGGATTATTATTATTATTATTTTTCTTTCAGTTGTTTTTGTCTAACATGAGCTCAGTTCTTGATGCAACATATTTCTTCCCTGAATTCAGCATAAGGCTAAACAACACAAAACTGATTGGTTTTATTCAGTAATGGATATGGCGGATGTAATTATATAACCCTGATCGGAACTAAGAGCAAGCTTTTTGTCAGAAGATGTTACCTAGTATATACTGTATAACATCTGAATCTAAAATACAAGCAATAAATTGAATATGATGATTGGCTTTTGTTCTGAAAGTACAAAGACCTTCAAATTGAAAAGCAGGACACTCTTTTATGTTATATGCAGAAGCAGAAGAGAGCTGTGTCCATGTGTTGTGTTGCGTATGCCCAGGATGTCATTACAATGTACCAAATTAGTATTCTTTTAATTAAGGAAACTAGAGCATTACCTTTAAAATAATCCTCCTTTTTTATTTTCAACATGATCTAATATAAATGTGTAGCTCTTGCTACAGGAACCACTTGGAAACGAATGGGCAGAAATGAACTCTGATTGTCCGTCTTCAGTTGTGAATCTCATTGTACAAAACTTTCCCTGCAGTTGAAAGTTTGACAGAGTGAGTTTAGTGCACATTAACAATTTTTTCCCCCACAAAAAAGAACCACTGCTTTGTCCCTGAAGACAAGGTCTGAAATTTATATTATTTTCAAATGATTGGTTATGAATGTAAGAAATAAGCACTCTGTTACTGTGCGACAGCAGAGGGTCAGAGCTATGACAAATCCAGTCTCTCCAATATCCTGTTTCACTTATATACTGCCTTGTCTTCAACACTCACACAGTTGCTTGAAATAAATTAAACTTTTATTGACAATGTGGAGATTTGGTCCTTGGAAGAAAATATGTCAGACAGATGGGATTTTGAAAGGCTGTATTTATTAAACTACTCTGGGAAAGCTGCACTAAATACTTTGAAGGTTTTGAAACCAAGGCTTTTTTCTAATAGTTTTGAATGGACTTAAACATGATCCATTTTTGCAAGTTAGGTGTATTTCACAAGTTACCAAAAACATGTACCTGTCAATTTCCAAAGCACTTAGTTTTATAGCATCTAACATCTAATAATGAAAAATAACAAAGAATGTGCAAAATATCTACGGTGGTGGATCTCTGGATAACAAAACCTGTAAATTTGCCACAGAGAATAAATAGAGCTGGACAAGGATTTACAGAGACCATATAAGCATGGAAACAGGCACTTATAGTTACGTATATAGTTACTCTCCTTGGTGTAAAACCAGTAGGGCATCAGTTTTCCTCCCTTCAGGTATGGCAAGATGTAACTATACTAATTACCAAAGGTTCCTTTTCAGATCTCTGACATTACACTGGACACTGATACACTTGATGAAAAACAGGTTTACACTGAACTTGAATTGAAAATTATGTCTGTTGTCAGTCAAGTTTGAGACTCCAATGCAGTGCTGGGGGAGCGTTGCATTCCTGGAGGCGTCATCCTTTGGATTGGACATTGAACTGAGGTCCCATCTGCCTGGTGGATGTTGAGACAGTTTATGGCACTATTCAAAAAAAGAAGGGAGTTTTTCACATTTGTCACAGCCAACACTTGCCAAGATAAAATTGGTGACTAAATTCATGGCTGTTTGTGGGACATGGCTGCTGTGCTTCCCTCCAAAATACAGTAGCTTCACTTCACTATAAAATCCTGTGAAATGCATTGATAAGTTGATGATAAGTCATTATATCAAATGAAAATACTATATCCATGGTGAGAATTTAGACACATTTCGTTGATGCAATCTGTAAAAATGTTAAATATAAATAATTTTAGACGCACACAAATTATGTTACCAAATTAAGATGAACGTTGGAATGAAATTTAACAGTATTTGATATGCGCCTTTCATGTAAGGACGATGTTTCAAAAGTGCTTCACATGATTTACTGTAAAGTGTAGTGACTGTTTTGCAAGTGAAAGCAGCAGCCAGTTTGCACACAACAATGTCCCACAATTATAAGAACATAAGAAATGCTAGACAAAAAAAGGCCAAGGTTCGTCTAGTTCACCTTCCACCTTCCTGATGGTCGCATGTACATATGTCCCAATCTACCTATGTTATTTTTAACATAATGTTATTTTTTTAAAAAAACTGATCTGTGTTTGAAAGAATCAACACTTCCTGCTTCAACTGTCTCCCTAGGGAATCTGTTCCATAGGTTCGCTATTCGCTCACTGAAATAGTGTTTGCGTAGATTCATTCTGAATTTACCCCCCTTCAATCGCAGGCCGTGTCCTCTGGTTCTACTATTCTGGACAAGCTATTCTGAAACAGCTTGTCATGATCTATGTTGCCTTGCCCCTTTAGAATCTTAAAGACAGCAATCATGTCGCTTCTCAATCTTTTTATCATCGTGAACATGCCCAATTTACCTAGTCGCTCCTCATAGTCCAGTCCTTCCATCAGTCATTTTGGTTGCCCTCCTCTGTATCTTCTCGATTTTTCCAGTATCCTTTTTGTACTCTGATGACCAGAACTGTTGAGAGTACTCTTAAGGTCTCACCAATGATTTATAAAGTGGCAGGATTACTCCACTATTTCGGCTTTCTATTGATCTTTTGATACATCCCAACATCTGGTTTGCTTTACTCACTGCCACAGAGCATCGTTGGGAGAGCTTCAATTTATTGTCAATCAGGACCCTCAGGTCCTTTTCATTTCCCAAACATATTATTTTCTTTCCATTCAAATAATAGTCTCTTCCAGGATTTTTTGCCCTCATGTGAAGTAATTTACATTTCTCCACATTGAATTTCATCTGCCACCGATCTGCCCAATTCCCAAGTATGTTCAAATCCTCCTGTAACCTATCTTGTTTAGCTTCACAATCTACCACCTTCATTAGCTTGGTGTCATCTGGAAACTTAACCACTGTGCTTGCAACTCCCAGTTCCAGAAAATTTCTAAAAATATTAAACAAAAGTGGTCCCAAAACATAACCTTGTGGAACTCGATTGGTAACGTTTTCCCAGTCTGATGACATTCCCTGTAGCACCACTGGGTTCTTCCGGTCAACCTATTGCGTATCCATTTACTTCCACTGATTCCCGCTTTTGGACGCACAATGGACGTCAAACTTACTGGTCTGTAGTCTCCTGGGTCACTTTTGTTACCTTTCTTAAAAATAGGAGTAACATCTGCTCTTCTCCAGTCCCGCGGCACCTCTCCAGTATTCAGTAATTTTTGAAATATTTGTGCCAGTGTTTCTGCGACTTCCTCCCTTAGTTCCTTAAGGATCCTCGGATGCAATTTATCCGGCCCGAGGTTTATTTACCTTAAGTTTACACTGTTGTTTGGCAACCATGCTGGTAGCGATATGAATAGTGTTGTAATTTTTCTCTGCGACATCCTTGAGTTCTCTTTCCAGATCAGATAGGTTACCTGTCTCCTCCTTGGTAAAGACTGATACAAAAAACGTATTTAGCATTATTGCAGCCTGTGCATTATTTATGTTGTCTCCCGAACCCACCTTCAGTGGCCCTATTCCATTGCTTGTTTGTCTTCTATTCTTAATGTAACTAAAAAAAAGTTTTGTTATTATCCTTCACATCTTTTGCCATGTTCAATTCAAAGCTTTTCTTTGCCATTCTTTTTTTTTCAGTCCTGGCATCCTTCTGATATTGTGTCTGACTTATTTCCGTGCCATTTTCCTTCATGGCCTTAAATGCTTTTTTTCTCTTTGTGATTTGCTTTGTAGCCCCATCCAACCAGGCAGGAGTGCCTTTAAGCTTGGTACCTTTGCTTCGCAAGAGTACACATTGTTCCATTGCCTTCATAATCACCTCCTTGAAGGAACTCCGTATGTCCTCCACTCCCATTGCCGTATTTAAGCCTGCCAGGCCCACTCCAACTAGACTTCTCAAGCGCACAATATCAGTCCTCTTGAAATTTGGCAGTTTTATTTGGGTGTTTATAACTTCAACTCTTGTGATGTCAAATGTGATTACATTGTGATCGCTGTTGCTTAATGCTTCTCCCACCTTTATGTTGGGGATTTGGTGGTCCCTGTTGCTCATTATCAAATGCAAGATGTTATCTCCCCTCGTTGGCTCTTTTACAAACTGAGTCATAAAACTGTCTTCCTTTAACTCTAGAAACCCCTTCCCTATTTACTGGTAGACACATTATTACCCAATCAATTTCGGTTAAGTTTAAAATCTCCAACCACTATGGTTGGTCCCTTACTGGTGGCCTTTCTTATCTCATCCCACAGTTTCCTTTTTTATATACTCTCTTACTTGTGTCTCAATAATGGAGCTTATATATAGTGCCACACCACCTCCTCTTCTCCCAATACGGTACCTCCTAAACAGTTTATGACCTTCCAGGTGCGTATTCCATTGATTAGATTCATTCCACCATGTCTCTGTTATGCTAATGATGTCCAATCTATCATCCCCTACAAGACCTTCCAGATCACCCATCTTGTTTGTCAGACTTCTTGCATTAATGCAAGTACAACTCCAATGTTTTTTGGCTTTCCTATTTATTTTATAAGCATTTTTTTTCACCAACCTTTGGAGTTAGACCGATTACAATAGTAAACCTTAAGGTTTTCCCTAATCAATTTGGGTGCTCTCTTACACCTATCGCAACCACCCAATGGCATTTGATTCTGTTGGGGTTTGTTCTAAACAGAAAGAAAATACAGTAGATACAGAATTGTATAGCACTGTGCCTACAGCCAGACTGTGCCCAGTGACCATGAGGCAAATGACATTGAAAATACTGCTTTTAATGGGTAAGAATATTAAATTAGCAACTATGTAGTAGTCAACTGTGACCCATGAATATTCATTTCGTCCCGATTGCCTACCGTCAGAGGCCCTCCTGATTGGCTCTCGTCAGCACCTCCACACCTCAGGAGCTGACAGCATCACCATCCATGGATGCATACTCCACCTGACTAAACCAGTCAGAACCTTAACATTTTGTTTGACCCTCAACTTTCCTTTCTTCCCCACATCCGTGCCATGACCCACTCAGCCTTCCCCGATCTCTGCAACATTGCCCAGCTCTGCCACTGTCTCATACAGGGTCTCAAACATTGTTGTTGTTGTTGTTAATTTTCTAGAACTGATCCTGCCCAGGAATAAGTTGTGCAGTTTGTTGAACCTGACATATTTTATCTTTTTTGTGCAGATTGGTATTACTGATCCCAGTGACCAGATGAAAATTTTGGATGCAATTTGTGAAATGCAGCCAGATGATCTCCAGGTTTCTCCGCTGTCTGCGCAGAATATTTCTGAATGCAGGTAATGGGGAATAACGACGACGACAAGCTTACATTTGTAGGTGGAATAAAGTCTTTAGATAGACAATGTCTTTATCTTTATGTAAAACGTGTAAATGGACTCTAAAGTGCAACGTGGTGAATATTCACATCCCTTTATGTTCTACAGGATCTTAATAGTTTTTCATTCACCTAACATCTACCTCTGCGCCACTGGTAAAACCAATCTGTACATGATTTTAGATGGGAGACTTAGCACTGGCACACTGAACAATTGCAATGAAATTGTGGTCAGTATTCTATGTGGAGTCCTGTAGCTCAGTGGTTAGAGCACTCGCTTTGCAAGCGAGAGACCTGAGTTCAATTCCAGGCAGGTCAGGGCGAAACCTTGGGCAAGTTTCCTTACTCCACACAGAGCCTAATAATAATCCCTCCAAAACCAAAAAAATAAAAATAAATTGGTCAATTTCAATCTATGACTGTTTGTGGGACATTGCTGTGCGCAATTGGCTGCCGCATTCGCCCACACATATACAGTCCATTCACTTTACAGTGTGTTCTGTGAAGCGCTTTGGGAGGTCCTCCCGATGTGAAAAGCCCTATATCAAATGCAAGGATTATTATTATATGTAGGCCCCTTGGGAATGTTATAACAAATAATAATAATACTTACATCCGACTATTAATAATTATAATAGTTTTATAATTATAATATAATATTATAATAGTTTTATAATTATTAATGACAATGACCATCCTTACATGTGGTTATTAGTAATAATTATCCTAAAATTTGGTAATAAATAATCATAATAATCCTTACATTTGGTAACATTGCTTGCTAATAGAATTTCTCAATTATAATTATGCAATGGCAAAGGCGTTGCATACAGTACAAAATTACACTTGTATAGCAGCTTTCACATCGGGAGGACATTCCAAGGCACTGGACAGTGGGGGGAAGCTGGGGGTCGGAATCGGGGAGGGCAGGTAAGTTAGGAGGGTGGTCGGAGACTCGGTCGTATAAGTATGTAATGCTGACTGGATTATGTTACATATTACAATTATGTAATGCTGTAATAAGTTAAACATCAAACAAATACAGGAACACAAATTCTGTTTCTGGAAAACAAAGAAAACCTTTTTGGAAATCTGTGGTCAGGAAAGAGTTAAATGTTGCCTGCAATTCAGCGATGTGGGAAACATATTTGTATTTACAAAACAAGGATTAGTTTGAAGTTCTCACGGATTGCAAATGAAAAATAATCTTGGGAATCTGTTCATCCTGAATTGAGATTGGTAATTATTTAAAGTAGCATTCTAAGTAAAGGATCTGATGTATGTATATTAGGTATGGGTTTGTGTTCTTGGATATTAAAGACCACTGGTGTCCATTTAAATAGCCAACCGTTCATAATACCATCAGGGCAAACCTGTCAGAGTGAAGTGTCTCCAGTTCACACTGTGTCCTGCAAACTCATCAGAATCCTGACAGACAGATGTGGCGGGGAGAGGGTACTTTATCAGTGACCAAAATATCATCAATACGTTGTTGCAGCTTGTCGAATCTTCACTTTATTGATGCTTTTCAAGCAAATGTCGCAATTAATTACATGCCAAGGTTAGACTTTGCAGTGAGCAGACAGGCGTTGAAACGCCTGATTCCCTCCGCCTCTCTGCAAATATGCCCAGGTTCACAGAGCGTCCCTGAGATTGTCAGAAAGTTTGGATTTAGGTTATGGATGAGATAGAGAATGAGAAGCACCATTATCCTCCTTCCCTCCCTTCCTCAGGAAGAGATGATTTAATAAACACAATGTGCCAGCTTCACCAATTAAGCTAAACCTTCATTTAGAGTGACATGTTACAATAGCACAAGATAAATCCTAAATTACTAAGGGTGCACAGAGAATGATTGATTCATTATTGCCAGTGTCAATTCAGTGATCCTAATGTTAGATTTCTGTGGGTGTCCTTAAATAAGTAGTTTTTTTCTAACGCTCATAGGTTATCAACTATGTATTACTTCGCATCTAGCAAAGAAAGTTTGCTTTCCCAGAAGTGCCTTTAATAAATCAAAAAGGAATTTAGAAAGGAAAAATAAATGTTTTTGCATGAAATTTCCAATGCAAACTTTGTGAATGAACTCTGACCTTTTTAGATGTTAAACTAGGTGTCCGGAATAAACACAGTCCAAACACATCCAGCTGGACTCTGTGTTGTGGTTCCAAACTAGGTAAAACATAGACCAAACACAGGACAAGATGTGGACATTTTATGGGGAAATCTGTTAGAAACACATTGCAGGAATCTGACTTTTGTAAACTACAGCTGATGTGTTTGGATACATTTTTTGACCAGATTTGGTTTCTCGTCTATTAGCATCCTTTAATAATAATAATAATCCTTGTATTTGATATAGCGCTTTTCACGTCTTCTGGACATCTCAAAGTGCTTCACAGAATCTGCTATAAAGTGAATTGACTGTATATTTGGGCAAAACCCAGCAGCCAATTGCGCACAGCAGTGTCCCACAAACAGTCGTGCATTGAAAATGACCAATTTATTATTGCTTTGTTTTTTGGAGGGATTATTATTAGGCGTGTGGAGTAAGGAAACTCGCCCAAGGTTTCACCCTGCCTGGAATTGAACTCAGGTCTCTCGCTTGCAAGGCGAGTGCTCTAACCACTGCGCTACAGGATTCCACAAAGTATTTTGTCTATTATTATTTACATTATTTACATAATGCATGTAACATAGTCATGGGACAAACGTGGAAATGCTCATTTGTTAAGATTTGAGCTAAGGATTTTTTTGGAAGGAGCAAAATTGACATTGATATTCTGAGAAGTAATACATCAAACTTTGCGATGGCTTTCAGAGCATTTAATGGCTTTCTCAAATCTACATGTAGTTTAGTCAATTAGATTTTTTTAAATTAAAGATGTGTATGAGTACAGTTTAAGCTATGAAGTAGTATTAGGCTCAAGCCTATCTCTTAGATGAGACATTAAATAATTTAGGTGGATGCTAAAGCTCTTGTGCCACAATTCAAAAAGATAGGGGAGTTTCTCCTGGTATACTTTGTTGTGTGTAAATTGGCTGCTGTGCCTTTCTACAAATAATCATGTCAAATGCAAGGAGTGTTGTTTGAGGGCACTTTGTAGTTCTCCATGTTTACCATCGGGTGGCCACAGTTGCTTGGGTATTGCACTCTAAACGTGCACCAACACTCAGGCTGGAGGGAACTTTTTAAACATGGATAATGAGAATCAATTTGAGCTTCAGTCAACTCTGTTTGAATGCAATACAATTCAGTGACAAGTAGATGACCTACCTAACCAGTAATTCACTGCAATGCTAACTAAAATCGATTCATTATTACAGTTATTTTCTTTTAAACTCAACGTTCGACCATTCTAATGCTATCGTTGAAATTCAGTCCAGAAGCAACTGTTTTGTGAATGAGCTCATGACTTGCAGGTATAGAGAGGTGCAGATTACAACAACAAGAACTTGTAGGTGGTCATAAGCACTAGAACAGGAAGATTATAATTTCTTGTTAGCGCATGTTGAGTAAAACTGGGGATGTCCTCTCTGCAGAGATGTGATTTACTGTCAGCACTTTATTGTTTTGAGTTATGTTGAGTGTTAATTCCAGGCAGGGCGAAACCTTGGGCAAGTTTCCTTACTCCACACAGAGCCTAATAATAATCCCTCCAAAAACAAAAAACAATAATAAATTGGTCATTTTCAATCTACGACTGTTTGTGGGACATTGCTGTGCGCAATTGGCTGCCGCGTTCGCCCACAAAAAGTCAATTCATTTTACAGTGTGTTCTGTGAAGTGCTTTGGGATGTCCTCCCGACGTGAAAAGCGCTATATCAAATGCAAGGATTATTATTATTATTATTATTAATGTAACCAATGCTCTCTTTGGAATACAATGGGAAATTTTCAGTACAAGAAGGATTTTATATGAATTCATAAAATAAGCAAACTTTTCAAACCATATTCAGTCCATACTGTCGCCCTATCACTCTCTGGATCAATTGTTCAGGTGGAAGTTAAAGATCCCATGGTACTATTCGAAAAGAGAAGCAAGTTTCTCATGGTGTCCTGGCCAACAATCTACCAGATAAAATTGGTCATTCTGCCCATGCCTGTTTGTGGGACATTCCTGTGTGCAAATTGGCTGTCCCGTTCGCATCATTATTTCACCCACTTAACATCATCTTATCGCAGAGCCAAACAGTGTTATCCAGTTTAGAATAATAGGACTGCAGCACATTACAGCTAAACCATTCTGGATTGATGGATTACCGTTTGCTCTCACAAGCACTTCTTTCCAAGAACCATTAGGATGATTAGTCACCAAAACAGGTTCCCTGAACAGCAAATATTAAATATCTGAATGACATTAAGCCTAGTACTGTGTAGCCCTGGCTGTGAAAGTTGTTTAATGGTTTAGTTAACGTATGTGCTGTTGGAGCAATGATGAATTAGAAAGGTGTCATTTTCTTTGTCAGTGACAAATCAGTTTTCCATGACCAGCCTGAGGTTCTGGCCTCCAGTTAATGCTCTGTCAGCTCTGTCCTGGTTTGCAAACCAGAGTACAAAACCAGTGATTTTTTATTCATCCAAAATTAGTAAAAGATCCAAACCATAATCCTTGAAGTTCTAAACAGTATACAGATAGCGGTGTTTGTTTTGAGAGAGATCAGTTACGGTCCAGGTCCTTAACCCTTGAAGCGCTGAAATAAATGTTGTCGTTGTTTTCAAAATCATCACCATCACCTTTGCTTTTTCATACATCACCAATGTAAATAAAGGAAAAATGTAATCTGGTTCCATGTTTTGTGTTAGTGCAGACACAGAGGTTCAAGCCCTCAAATCGCACTGTGTGTTTATATGGGGAGATTTGCTGTGTGTTGGCTAAGATCCCATAAACCTTCACCAGTAATATATTTCTGTAAATTATTCCAAGCATCCAAAAAATTCTCCAGAATAATCATTTGAAAAGCACTTAAGCATTTATCACCTAAATTACTTTTAATAGTTCAGTACAGATAATCTCAGCAATGCTTTTAAACAAAAGTCAATAATGATAATGACCATCGAAAACTCTGAAGCCCGTGTTCTCTACCGAACCAAACTCCGCAGCCTATCACCCAATCCTTGCTCGGCTCCACTGGCTATCCGTCCCTAAGTGGATTCAGTTCACCATCCTTTCCTAGCATCAAATCCCTGCATTACCTCGATTCATGTAGCTTAGTGATTAGAGTGTGAAGTCATCCACCTAGGTAGAAAAAACAGTAGACCGGGTTATTTTTTAGAAGTGGAGAGATTGAAATGTGTAAGCGTCCAGAAGGACTTGGTGTCCTTATACACCAATCACAGAAAGTTAGTCTGCAGGTGCAGCAAGCAATTAGGAAGGCGAATGGTAGTTAGCATTCATTATGAAAGGATTAGAGTATAAGGGTAGGGAAGTCTTGCTTCAACTGTATAGGGCCCTGGTGAAACCACACCTGGAATACTGTGGGCAGTTTTGGTCTCCTTATTTAAGGAACAATGTACTTGCCTTGGAGGGGGTGCAGAGTAGATTTACTAGGTTAGCACCAGGGATGAAGGGGACGAGTTACGAGGATAGGCTGACCAATTTGGGTCTATATTCTCTAGAATATAGACGAATTAGAGGGGATCTTATAGAAACCTATAAGATCATCAAAGGGTATGATACAGTAGATAGTGGGAGATTGTTTCCCCTGGTTGGAGAAACTAAAACCAGGGGTCACAACCTTAAAATCAGAGGCCAGCCCTTTCACACTGAGTTGAGGAAGAACTTCTTCACTCAAAGGGTGGTGAATGTATGGAACTCACTACCCAAAGGGCTGTTGACGCTCAGTCCTTGAACATATTCAAGACTGAGATAGATAGATTTCTTATTGCAAAAGGGATTAAGGGATATGGGGATAGGGCAGGGTTGAGTTAATAGCTGGAGTTAGATTAGAAGATCAGCCATGATTGAATGCCGGGGCAGGCTCGAAGGGCCGAATGGCCTACTCCTGCTCCTACATGTTATGTTACTCCTCGCAAGCGAGAAGACCTGGGTTAGATTCCCAGCAGGGCGAAAGGTTGGGCAAGTTTCCTTACTCCACACACTTCTGTTTACCTAGCAGTAAGTAAGAACTCAGTTGTTAGTCGATTGGCAGATCACTTTTCCAGTGGTAATAATTCCTTCAAAATAAAATAAAAATAATTTGATCATTCAATCTACTACTGTTTGTGGGACACTGCTGTGCGCAATTGTCTGCCGCGTTTCGCCCACAAATTATACAGTCAATTCACTTTACATTATACTCTGTGAAGCACTCTGAGACGTCTCGAAGACATGCTAAGGCGCTATATCAAATTCAAGGATTATTATTATGATGTTGCCATATCCCTACCTCTGTAACCTCCAGCAACCCTATTTTCCAGGCTGCTCCCTCCAGTTAACTAATCTACCTCATTCTCTGGAATTCTGTCCCGCAGTTCGTCCCCCCACATTACCCCCTCCCTTCCCACCTTTAAAGCCCACCTTAAGACCGAGTGTGCTTTCAGTTATGTTTCAACTTGGGCTCCTAGTCAATTGTGTGAAACGCTTTGAGATAATCTCCTGATTTAAAAAGCGCTATGTAAGTTGTTGCTGTGTAATAAGAATCCTTACATTTGATACAATGTCTTATCACATAATTGAAAGGTCTCAAAGTGTTTTCTAGGATTTACTATAAATTATAGTGATTATTGGTAGATGAATTCAGCAGCCAATTTGCACACAGCAATATCCCACAAACAGCCATGAAGTGAGTGGCCAATTTTTATCTGGGGACTGTTGTCCAGAACACAGGGGAAAACTCTCTTCTCTTTTCAAATAGTGCCATGGGATAATGTTTACCTGAACAGGCCAATGGGACCTCGGTTTAATGTCTCATTCGAAGGTGGCACCTCTGACAATGAGGCAGACCCCAGCATTGCACTGAGTGTGAGCTCAAAGTTCCTATACACGGCTTGAACCCACAACTTTCTGACACCGAGGCAAGAATGCTACCAACTGAGCCAAACTGACACCAGACAGTTAATTATAGTAACAGTTGTAGTTCACTTATTAAAAACTACTAAAAACTTAAAAATCTTAAGAGCATGGAATGAGGAAAGGCCATTTGGGGCCTCAGCAGTTCACACATCCCTGTATCCAATGTAGTGTTTGTTATTCAGTCTGTTTTTTTTCCACAAAATATGCAAAATGAGACTTTCTGGTTTCTCAGACAAGCAATATCTGCCGCAAGGGGCCAGGTTGATTAATCGTTGCAAAGTGTTGGCAACTTTTCAAAGGCAGCTGATAATTTTTCTGGAATCGTCCTATCTTAAAAGCATCAATGAGTTCAAGTTTTAATTCAGTTAAGAGGTTCAACTCCTGCCAAAACAACGTTGTGAAGGGAGAAGTGTCGGGGACAGGGAAGCTGCGTAGAATCCCCATTTGTTAGCAAACCATCTGGTGTTGCTATATGGCTCTCCAGAGAATATACGCTCTTAAAGGTGTTAGATTGAAATAAAACCCCAAATGATTGTTGTCCACACCACTAAAATGTTGCTACATCAGGAGTTTTACTATCTCAAGACTGGGTTCTTCAGCATCGCTAAGTGACAGTCTTTTGAAAAAGTTCAAGTTAGTGTAAACAGTGAGGCTGTGGATCAGAGCCTTGTGATGGAGTGTGCAGTCAGCCCCAGGTCATCATTCTGCCATGAAGCTCTGACTGCACACATTGTCAAAGAAAGGTTGAGTCCCACGATCACTTCTCTTATCTGAGCTAAAATGTGCTTTTAAAAAGATTCCAGTCAAACAAATTTATCGTGCAGATACATTAAGTGCTCTCCATTTGGAAACGTAAGTTTCATTTTTTTTGTGTGTGTGTGTAATGCTTGTTTGTTATAGGCTAAATAGTGAAAGATCACTACCTGCGCTTCTACTTAGCAGGTAGTCATTTTAATGCTCTTTAATTTAGAGTCTGCCATAAATTGAAACATATTCATTGTAAAGTGAATTTCATTAAAAGAAGGTTTCAATTAATTTTCAACCAGAAGCCCGTCTTATCCTCAATTTGTTTTTATTGTAATGCAGTTGTTTTACCGTGCTTTTATCAACTTGCACACCATTGTTTCATTTTAAGAATCCAATTGTCCTTCACAACAAATCGGTTTACAAAGGAACTTCATGTTGCTGAGAGCTGTGGTAAAACCCATGAGACATGCAAAGTTGGGCTTCTTGACAAAACTTTTATTACTGCCCTGAATCTCAGAACATCAACAGAAAGAAGCATCCATTCCTTTTGTCAGTCACGCTCTCAACTGGTCAACTGTTGCAGACTGAGTTTTGAGCTTTCCACCACACCACTGGAGCAAAGTGGAAACTATCAATATATATATGTATAATAATAATATTTAATAAATATATATTTGATATTGTGACTTATAAAGTCAACGTCTCATAGCACTGCCCAGAGTTTTTCTTTGAAGTGATATGTTGATATGTGTATTTTGTGACAGTTAAGTTTACACAACAACAACAACAAGATTACATTTGTATAGCGCCTTTCACGTCAGGAGGACGTCCCAACATACACACGGCAGCGTCCCACCAAGAGCCAATTTTAATCTGAGGAAATGTTAGTAAAGATGCCAGGAGAAATTCCCTTCGCGAATATTTAATGTCCACTTGAACAAGCATAAGCAACCTTGATTTAATGTCTCGTCTAAACCAAGGCATGTCTGACAATCCAGCACTCTCCTAGGCCTGTATTGGAGTGTCAATACTGTTGCACTCATAAATAGTGTCTGTATCTGTCGGAGAGCGTCATGCTTTCAGATACCCAAAGCAGCAGATTCAGGATTGTGACTTACAAGTTTAATACACCAAAAAGTATTTCTTTACACAGCGGTTCATCAGTGGCTGAAAAAAGGAAGAAGGGTTGAGGCCAGGAGTATGGGCTACTTTAAGAAACAGCTTAATACTGGAGTGGGAAATGGCAGGGTTGGAATCCTGCAAGGAGAAGGTCAAGGGGCTGAACCATCTGAACCTTTCTCTCGTGTTCTGATAGTTTATGGTTCTGGTGACTTGTCTTGCAAAGCTTAGGATTTATTTTTTCCTCTTGTGTTTTGCAGCAGTGAAGAACTTGCCAAGTTTTTGTTCCAGCTGACGAGACACTGTAGTCAATTGACAGCTTCTGTTCAGAATGCGACAACCCAGATAACAACCAATTCAGAGCTGGTAAGTGTAGAGCAACACGTTCCTCCCTCTATATTGCCTGAACTCCACATTTTGAAGGTTCATATTTCTCAAAACTATTCTTTCGATATGCACCTTTCAGAAACCAAGCCTAGATTAAACGTGGACACCTCACAGGCTATTCTTCTTCCCCCATTGACTTAGAATGTGGGAAACGTTTCAATTTTACAACTTACGTTTATGCATCACCTTTCACGTTGGTAGGACATTTCAAAGTGCTTCACAATGTTGGATGTGCACCTGAGCTGGGGTTGGAAGTGAAGAGGGGTAGGGGGAAAGATAATTGAAAGTGAGGGTACGTTTTGAGACGTTCCTTGAATTAAATTAGATCCCAAAATGTTTGTTTTGATTTTCATTACAAACATCTGATATACCATAATATAACATCTTGCTTATGTAATCCTGGAGAATATTAGGCACATGATGGCTAGAAGACATCATGGCTAATTTTGTCCTTAAAAGTAACTGAGCGAAAAAATGTTCCATCCGTATATAATAATAATCCTTGCATTTGATATAGCGTTTTTCACGTCTTCTAGGCGTCTCAAAGCGCTTCACAGAATATACTGTAAAGTGAATTAATTGTATATTTGTGGGCGAAACGCAGCAGACAATTGTTGGAATTCCAGGTTCTATCATTCTGTCTTTTTATCCAGAGAGTACTAGACCTAGACTCGGACCAAAAATCATCTTTGCTCGCCAGCGACTTGGCCACTTGTGTTGCGAAATTGGAGAAAGAAGTTGGAAGGTTCAGCAAAGTTCTGCTAAAGGTAAAGCAAAGCGCTAAATTTATGCTATGGTTTTTTAAAAAAAAGAAATACAAATTAGTATGGAGATGCTTGTTTAAGCAACAGCTTCCCCTGTAGGCCTAAATAAAACTCTAGGTGTCTTTAAGATATAACCTGGATAACACTAATGTGGTGACAAAAAGATAGTGAGGGTGTGGGAGAGGTCAAGGCTGGATGTTAACACTACATCAGTCATTTGAGAACTAACAACATACAGACAGGGACTTGCCAGAAAGTGTCACTTGAAGTAATTAACTGTTAGAGTGGGAATAGGTTTGCAGAGATCCAGCAAATGGAGTATTAGTGTCAGCAAAGAATCTGTTGCTGAACGAAGCCATGTGGAAATGTAAGGAATCTCTGGATGGAGCCCAGCAAAGGGTGACTTATTATTTAGAATTCCCATATACAAGCCTGCAAGTATGTAAGGCGGCACGGTGCTTAATGGAGCAACGTCTGTGAAAACAGAACCTGCACTGGGAGTGTTTTGTGAAGTGCCTGATTTGGAATGCTTTCATTTTTTTTTAATCTTTCGATGGGGAAGGTGCAATGAATTAGTTCTCATGAAAACTGCCTGAACAGAGAACCACGTTGCTTTGACTGTGGAAGCTTTCGTGTCTATTTCCTTAACTCTTGATTGTTGAGCTTGAAAGGAAGCATCCAGTGTTTCCAGGCAATCATAAAGCCAGAGCAGTGATGATTGGCAACCAAGCCAATCTGCCACATTTTGCACATCAGTGACAGAAGCAGTCATTACTGTCAGCCTGGCTTAATTGGTAGCACTCTCGTCTCTGAATCAGAAGGTTGTGGGTTCAAGACCCATCTGAGGACGTTGAATTCACATTATCTAGGCTGACACTCCAATGCAGTGCTGAGGATACGCTGCGTTATTGGAGGTGCCATTTATGAAATATTAAACCAAAGTCTTGTCTGCCTGTTTAGGTGGACATTAAAGATCTTGTGTCACTATTGGAAAAGGCAGGAAGTTTCTTCTCGTGCCCTGGCCAACAATCACCCAGATAAAATAGGTCATTCACTTCATGACTGTTTGTGGGACATTGCTGTGCATAAATTGCTGTGTTGGCCTACAAAATATATGGTCAATCCATTTTACAGTAAATCCTCTGAAGTACTTTGACACACCTTGCTGATGTGAAAGGCACTTTATTAATTGCAAGGATTTTTTAATTTAGTGGCAGCCAACAGACATTTGTAAGCAGAGCTCAGAACAGTAGTATGCAATGACTGAGTTTGTTCATGTAAACAGTGCTGCGGTTCCTGGTGTGTTGGTGTCTGAGCTTTGCTTAACATTTCTTTGAGGTGAGCTAAACTTTGAATAGTATTCTCCCATTAATACAACAACTTGCACTTATATAGTGCCTTCCACACAGGGTAGCGTCGCAGAGCGCTTAACAGTGGCAGAGCCTTACTCTGAGCTGGAAGGGGAGGTGGCTGTAAGCACGGTCAAAGAGGAAGGTTTTCAGGCGGGACTTGAAAGAGAGGAGAGAGGAGGAAACGCGGAGGGATTGAGGGAGAGTGTTGCAGAGTTTTAGGGCATAGTGGCTGAAAGTGTGACCTCTGATGATGGGGTGGAGGGTGCGAGGGACAAGCAGGAGGCCGGTGCCAGTCGAGCGGAATCGCTGGATGATGGACTGGGGAGTGAGGAGGTGGGAGTGGTAGGGAGGTGCCAGAGAGTGAAGTGATTTGAACACGAGTTTGAGGATCTTGAAGTCGATCCATTTGGTGATGAGGAGCCAGTGGAGCCTGGTCAGAACTGGTGAGATGTGGGTAATGAGTTTAGTCTAGGTAAGTATGCGGGCAGCAGAGTTCTGAATGAATTGGACCTTTTGAATAGTTGAGCTGGGGAGACCGGCGAGGAGGGCGTTTGAGTAATCCAGGCGCGAGGTTACAAATGCATGCACGAGGATTTCGGCTGCATTTGGAGAAAGTTGCAGTTGGAAGCGGGCAATGTGATGGAGGGGCAAGAAGGCAATCCTGGTCAGGGACCGGATGTGGGGGAAGAAGGACAGCTGGAGGTCAAACCGGACTCCTAGATTGCGCACTGGTTCGGTGAGTGTGAGGGAGAGCCCAGGAGTGTTGAGTTCCGATCCGCAGGAGTGAAGACATTGACGGGAACCAAGGAATATGGCTTTCGTCTTGTCCACATTCAGCTGAAGGAAGTTTACACTCATCCAGGCCCTGATGTCTGCCAGACAAGCTAATAGAACATTGGCGGACCTAGAGTTGGTACTAGAGGAGGTAAAGTAGAAAGATGTGAAAAGCGCTATGTCAAATGCAAGGATTATTATTATTATTATTTGTGTGTCATTCGCATACACGTGGAAGTTTACACAGAGTAATGACATTACCCAGAGGGAGTGTTCTCCCACGAGTACCCTCTTGTATAAGACAGTGATGCTACATGGAATAGAGAAAGGAGAGGTAAGTCAATGCAGTACTTTGATATGCCAAGGCAGCAGGACCAGAAGACAGATGGGTTCAGTGCATGTTTAGGACAGACACCAGAACATATTTCTTTACATTGAGGGTAATAGCTGAATCAAGTTACAAGGGCAAGCGGCTAAGGCCAGAGGACTGGACTTGTTCAAGAAACCACTCGATTATTATTACAGTGGAGGATAGCAACATAATGCAATTTACATTTATATAATGCCTTTCACATCATACCTTTCACGTCTCAAAGCTCTTAACAATGCTGGATGGGCATCGGCTGGAGGTGTGAGCCAAGGAGATGGGGAGGGTGAAGATGACCGAAAGCGAGTTAAATAGGAATGTTTTGAGATGTGCCTTGAACAAAGGATGGAAGGGAGTAAGTTGGAGAGACTCTGAGAAACGGTCCCAGAGAGTGGGGCAGAATAGCAAGACCAGGTGAAGTGAAGAGACATTGAGATCAAGTTAAATACATGATCAAGAATATTGTTGCTGATATGATGCTGCAAATCTAGGATTCACAACAGTGACTAGTCTCATCTGCATTTTTGAAACGCTATAGTTACACTAATCCATCTTAGTTGCAGGATGACCAAGAGAGTGTTCCTAGTCGTATTCCGTTGTCACAAGAATATTTTGGTCGCAGTAGCCAATTGATGAAGAAATTAACAATCGTCCTCTTTGGAACTGGGCTCGTCTTTCTCCTCGGAAAACTGCATCTAAGAAATGTTACATTGTAAGCCTTTGGAGTCTTATTTGCCAGTATGTTTCTCTTCCCTTTGATCCAGGTGATTTCAATGTTAAAACTCAACTCAACAATATGCCAAATTCTGGACACTCTGGAATGCTATATTAATAGAGTAAATCTGGACCCGGGTGTAATTTTACATGTAATGATTCAATGTCATTTACATTGCTGCAAATAACTGTTTGTTGGCTTAATATACCTTGGGACAACAGTATGGTGATCACCAGGATTGGCACCTGGAAGTGTACAGTATCCAGGTCATTTGTTACTTGTTGCTGTATGCGAGGGAGCCTGTTCTTAACCATTCTGTAGTCAAGTCTATTCTTACACTACCTGGAGCAGGAGGTATGCTTCCTTGCTTCTGTCAGTTTGACCTATTGATGCTGCTGTGTTTGCAAAGAGGGTGTTCTTGCTTGTGAGGGCCTCTAGGAAGGAGGAAGGAGGTTGCTTTATAATAATAATAATCCTTGCATTTGATATAGTGCTTTTCACATCTTCTCAATGTCTCAAAGCGCTTCACAGAACAGTAAAGTGAATTGACCGTATATTTGTGGGCGAAATGCGACAGCCAATTGCGCACAGCAGTGTCCCACAAACAGTCGTGGATTGAAAATGACCAATTTATTATTGTTTTGTTTGGGAGGGATTATTATTAGGCGTGTGGAGTAAGGAAACTTGCCCAAGGTTTCGCTTTGTTTGTGCTTGAAGGCTGAGCATCACTCACTTCAACTTAGATGCCCTGTAGGTCCTTTATCCATAGGCTATTGGTGGAGGAAGTGGGGTAGCCCTGTAACAGAGAAGCATTCTTTCCTGCTGTCAAGAGTGGGTGTTGAATCAGTCTATGTATTGCAAGGAGTCCTTAATTCCCCAGCAAGCAAAGGAGCGAGTCAGTCTGAAATGTTTGCAACGCCAGTCTGATGACTCAATGTCATGTGAAAGTTTCTTTGGTTCCAAAATCATTTGAATTGAAAATACTTGTTGTGACTTCTATGGTGGAGTCCTGTAGCTTAGTGGTTAGAGCACTCGCTTTGCAATTGAGTGACCGGAGTTCAATTCCAGGCAGTGCGAAACCTTGGGCAAGTTTCCTTACTCCACACGCCTAATAATAATCCCTCCAAAAAACAAAACAATAATAAATTGGTCATTTTCAATCCACGACTGTTTGTGGGACACTGCTGTGCGCAATTGGCTGCCGCGTTCGCCCACAAATATACAGTCAATTCACTTTACAGTATATTCTGTGAAACGCTTTGGGACGTCTAGAAGACGTGAAAAGCGCTATATCAAATGCAAGGATTATTATTATTATGCTACAATACTCCCTTAATGAAGAACAATTACCGAAAATGTTGTTTCATTAGCAATAATGATGTTACAAGTTGTCAAACACATTACATGTCAGACTTATTGATTTATTAAAAACAAAGTTCCTAATCTGAACATTGACTCTGTCCTTTCATGACACTCTTTGAATGTGTTGCTAATCTAAAGAGGGTTTTCATTTGAGTTCATTCAACTTCTGACCCCAAACTGGAAGACTTAGTTTGCCATCATATCTCAGCTAGAGAACAATCATCATGTTCAGGTCTTCTCCACCAGCATTGTAAATATGTTCCCTGGTGATGGGGAAAGGTAAGTGACGTCTCCTTGGACTGTGTTAGAATGTTGGAATTGAGTCAACCCTTCTGTGACTACCTTGATAGTCCAGTTCCTGAGCCAGGGCACCACTGCTGATAGACCAGCCAGCCTGGCTCAGTGTCAGGATTTGTCCTGTAGCATACTGGTTAGAGCACTTGCCTCGCAAGCGAGAGAACCTGGCTTTGATTCCTGGGCAGGACGAACCGTAAGGCAAGTTTCCTTACTCCACACACCTCTGTTTACCTAGCAGTAAGTAGGAACCCAGTTGTTAGTAGATTGGTGATATCCAGGGTTAACAATCCATTAAAATTTAATTTTAAAAAATAATAATTTGGTCACTCAATCCATGACTGTTTGTGGGACACTGCTGTGTGTAATTGGCTTCCAAGTTTCGCCCACAAAATATACAATCAATTCACTTTACAGTATATTCTGTGAAGAGCTTTAAGACATCTCGAAGATATTATAAGGTGCTGTATCAAATGCAAGGATTATTATTATTTGGAGAGACACACCAGTTACTAGATACAGGGATTCTTCCTACTTTGCTCCCATAAACATTTTGTCGTCAAATTATACAGTCAATCCACTTTAGTGTATATTCTGTGAAGCGCTTTGAGACGTCTCAACAACTTGATAAGGCACTATGCTAAATGCAACTATTGCTATTCTTATAAGAAAAAACCCTAATGGGTGGGATGGTCTTAGCTGTCCAAGCAATAGGAAGCTTGCCAGTGCTCTCACTGGCACTCTATGTGGTTTTAGCTAGTTAAACTCCAGCAGTACCCCAACAGACATTCTGGGGTCCCCAAACCTTGGCTCTTGTCAACCAACGCCTGAAACTTGCCAGAAGTTGGGTGTGACCCTATGGGGAAAGAATGCGCATTTCTTTCCAAACATTGAGAAGTTTCCATGCCGAGGAGGTGTACATATGTGGACCTCTGCTTGGTTTGGGTAATCTTAACTATTGTGATGGATTTCATAATGTGTCAGACACCCGGGTGACCACAAACATCCACAAACATTAGTGTAACAATCCAAGCAGAAGCTATGAAGTTTCCACTGTCAGAAGTGCTCTTATTACACCACATGGGGGCGTAACCATACCAAGCCTGCACTGGTTATCTTGTAATGCAGTCCACCTGCAAATGTTTTTGCAAACTAACCACATGAGAGGCCTTGGGAAGTCAGAACATGAGCAGTTAAGCTTACAGGAGAACTCTACAGAGAGTCCTGTAGCTCAGTGGTTAGAGCACTCGCTTTGCAAGCGAGAGACCTGCGTTCAATTCCAGGCAGTGCGAAATCTTGGGTAAGTTTCCTTACTCCACACGCCTAATAATAATCCCTCCAAAACCCAAAACAATAATAAATTGGTCATATTCAATCTAAGACTGTTTGTGGGACATTGCTGTGTGCAATTGGCTGCCGTGTTCGCCCACAAATATACAATCAATTCACTTTACAGTGTGTTCTGTGAAGCGCTTTGGGACGTCCTCCTGATGTGAAAAGCGCTATATCAAATGCAAGGATTATTATATTATTATAAAATGGTGCAAAAATGAGGAAAACTGGGCATGGTTGTCATCAAACCAGGTAAGTACAGCAGCAAATCTCACCCTTCCACTTGGATCACTCAAGCTCAATGGCAGTTCAGAATGAAGCCCCAGATAAATTCTGAGACGGTGGCCCAGGTTTCATTAATGTATTGGAGTTGAAGCACTGAGCTGAAAGTTTCCGTACCAGTACCACTAGAAGCTTTAAACAGCTTGAAGGACTTGATACAACAGCAACAACTTGCGTTTATATAGTGCCCCTCACACAGGGTAGTGTCCCAGAGCACTTTATACTAGGTTTAATTACTGCCAGACCTAACCTGCAAGTCCTGTTGGGTTATTCGGTATTTGTCATTGAGATGAGTGTCAGGATGACCCCCCTCCAACCCCAAATCCCGGAGCCACAGCTACGTTAACATTGTCCATTTCAGCTGGAGTCCTGCTACCAATGTGCGGATTTTGTGGAACGTGCTCTGAAACCAACCATAGCATAGTTTAGGTTAATGGAAATAAAAAACAGGTTGGTGGGTAAAGGCGGTGGTGGTGGATCTGAGGAGATCCTGTTTTACAAGCAGAACCTTTCATCAGAAAATGTCTTTTATTACAAGTTTATCATCACAAGATTGTGTTTTTCCTGAAGCAAGACCTACATAATTCCCTCTGCAGTGACGTGTAGTTGTCGCCCTGCTGCACAAAGATTTACCACTCAGTGCCATACCAATAGATGCTTATGTGATTTTTCCAGGATTTCTTTGTTGTAAAATTAGCTTTGTTTATAGAGTTCATTTGTGAAACCATAGTGAACATCAATCTTAGGCTGGATGTTCTGTTTTTATTAACAGGATTGCAGAAGGCGGGTGAGTATATGATGGGATGAGGGGTGGTGTTGGTAGGGTGTTGTTCAGGACGAGGGAAACCAAATAAAGCTGTTTTGAATTCTGTAATTTTACAATTCTACGTGTTCAGAGAAGTTGGCGATTAACACAGAATTAAAAGATGGATTCCAGTACCTTAGTGAATAGAGGACTTGCCTCGCAAACAAGAGAACCTGGGTTCGATTATAGGGCAAGGTGAAACCTTAGGCAAGTATTCTTACTCTGCACACTCGCCTCTATTTACCTAGCAGAAGTAGGAACCCGCTTGTTAGTCAATTGGTGAATTGCTTTCTGGGGGTAATAATATTCCAAAAAAAAATTATTTGGTCACTCAATCCATGACTGTTTGTAGGACACTGCTGTGCGCAATTGGCTGCCGTGTAGATTCTGTGAAGCGCTTTGAGATGTCTCAAAGATGTGATAAAGAGCTACATCAAATGCATGTATTATAATATCAATCTAAGGAGGTTGATGGCATAGTAGATTTGCAAAGTGATGTCAACTCAAGGGGTTCACTTGTGTATAACCCACTCCACACAGCAGGATTTCTCTTCAGCCAGGAACATAAATAGAGGCTGATCTTGAAGAGTTTTGTTGAGACTTTATGTATTTATTTATTTTGTCAGCCATGAATCTGACGATCACGATGCTTAAGAGTTTCCAAACCAATCTGAGAATTCCATGAGCCGGGTTCGCTCATTTATTAAAAAAAGATTAAAAATTAGTGAATGTTTAACTAGGTTAGATGCTGAGAAGGGTCCCGTCTGTCCAATTTCAGAATGCCAAGGTTCCTCACTGGGATTAATAATAAAGGGTGATAAAACAAGTAGCAGCAGCGTAGATATGATGGGCCGAATGGCCTTTTTATGCTGGAAACATGTTTCTAGTGGTCTGGCATTTCCATGACTGACACCAGTTAACCTGATGCCTGTAGGTCAGATGGTTACCAACAATAGTGACAAACGTGGAACAATTTTTTTTTGGTTGGCACCTGGATGTATAAATGAGAAGAGGAGCCCTGTGTTCAAGCCGGTGTGTTACATTTAACACCTCAGTGTTAAATGTAACTTCACTAAATGTTAAATGTAAATTCACTGTGAGAGAGAGAATACATGATGATTTCAGCTACTGTCAACCCAGGTTAAAACGTTGGGGCTCAGATGAGGATTGAATGGGAGTTGGTCTTTAATGAACTTGTGTGCAAAAGAGGCACACGTCCCACTCTCCAAAACTCTTAAGCCTCAGTCAGTATCGGGACTCGTTCTTTGAAAAAGCAGCTGTTGGTTTGGATTTTGTGACACTGACTTGCGATTCTGTCTCTGCAGTCGGGTTGGAGGGGTTGCAGTATTTTTTTTTAGACCTTGCAATCTTTTTAGCCTCTCTTGT